ATTGCGAATGGCGGCATACATTGACAGGTTAATTGTTAAGTATTACAGAGGGTTTATGTGTCAGCCTACTTATAATAAAAAATCAACCTTAATTTTTTGAATAATTAGTTTAAAAAGTGATAAGGCGCATTTTTTAGCTTATAAGATAGACAGATATGCAATTTTCAACCTTTTTTTCTAATACCAATAACTGCATTATTATACATTTTGTTAATTTAACTCTATTTTTGTAATAACTGCTTTTCAACGCAAATTAGTAACTGTCGATTTACAGAGAAAAGCAACAGAAAACGGTATTGATAGAAATGTTTAAATTTTTTACTAAGCGAAATAAATGACAGTTTAAGAGAATAATAAAAGAAATAGAGTGAGGTTATTGAATTAAATTGAATGTCCGTTTTTTATAGAAATGTTATGCTAGAACCACCAAAAATTCTTTACAATTTTCTTTCTTAAAGAAAAGATTTAGGAGTTGAAATTGGCAGTGAACGATATGAGTTACTCGAGAATTGCTTATATCATAAATTAGCTCAAAAATCCGAACAACAGTTCGACAGCACCAAAGCGTAAGTTACAACTTCGATTTTTGTACCGCTTATCAGTTTTTATATTTGAATTAGTCGGCACTCGTGCAAAAGTCATTTTTTCTTTTTTTTTTTTTAGTTTTTTGTTATAGGTTCAATTTCTTCGCTTTTTTGCTTTTATCTACCTTATCTTTTGCAGTCAAAGATGCGACAAATAATACACATTTTAAGAAAAAGGCAAAGTATTGGTAAGAATGTTAGAAGTTTGACTTTCTAGAAGTCTTTAAGTAGTGTTCATTTTATTTTCTGCTTCTAAACAGTTTTTTTTGGCTTAACCTTCTCATAGCCAGATTTTCTGCAAAAACTTTTTTTCCAGTCAGTTCAATTCAATGATTGAAGCTGTGTGAAGAGCTTAGTCATTTATTACGTTCTAAACGATAATTTTTTATTCTTCAAAGAATGCTGTTTGAAACCTTTGTAATGTAATTTGTCGTCTCAGTGGAATTGACCGTGATATAAGACGAACAAAAAAAAATTCAATTGGTTAGGAAAGAGATTTAACACACGACTGCAACAACTTTTTAAGGACAGAAAAACGTAAACTTGTATTAACTGCGTCTTTTGCCATAACAGTATTGCAAACAGCTGTTGAAAATTTGGGAACTATAAATCAGATAGAGTACTTTTTGCTGTAGCTGTATTTTCATTAAAAAATAGGCTAAATTCTTTTTAGTTGGCTATTTAACATAGACTAAGAATAAGTTTGAGTTTCCTAGTACGGGAAAAACGTTTATACTTCTGAAAACATCAAGCTTTTCCAAGAAGAAATAACAATTGAAAAGGAATTGTGCAGAAACATAGACATATGTTTTACAAGCCTTTTTTAGCTTACCGTTTTTCTTAAAAAACAATTTTATTACTATTCCTTTTGCTTGAGACATTGCCCCTGCCCTTCCTCATTCTTTGTTATCTATTCTGTATTGGCACTCAACTTTACTAAGCCAAAAATAAAGAAAGACCGTAGGCATATAAATATGAAGAAACAAAAGATTCTCAAGCAATTCATTAGTTAATAGCAGTTTCAAAGTTGTTAAATCTCAAATGATTAACCATTTTCCTAAGTTTTTATCAAAACCTTCCCCTCCAAAACTTTCTATGTTCTTCTTGGCACTTGTTAACGTTTTCAGTGAAGCAGTTTTGTTTGCTATGGAAACTACTGAGTTAAACAAATAAGTTTATCAACAAGCATATAGGTTCTGTTAAATCAATTATGCTCAACAGCATATTGAAATTTAAAAAACTGTATAAAAAATTTTGCTATTTTACTGCTTTTCAAAAGATTTCTTTGAAAAATTTCACTGTGTAATTTTTTTTAAAGAATGTGCTTGTTTTTTGTTGTTCTCTCTTGTTTTCCCTTCCCATAGAAAACTCTTTTTTGATTCATTCACTGGAGAACTGTCATAAGAATTTTCCTTCGTAGCCTAAAAAAAGGTTGACAAGTTTAGTAGCGGGGTAGGTCACTTCCCTAAATAAATACCCAAATAGAGATTGGCAGATCAAATTTCTCACACTGAGTTACAATTCTTCCTCAGTTGATATCTTAGGCTTTTTCGAAGTTACCCAAAGAGATTAAGCACTGTTCTGAACTTAAAAGCAGAAAAGCTTACATTTAGACCATTCAACTAGACTAAACCTTCACTAATTTGATTATTTCGATAAAACTTCAATTTTTTTGCTGGTTATTGAGTTAAATATTTTAAAAAGTAAATTAAAAAAGCCTTGGCATTGCTTTTTTTGCCCTTAAAGGCTTTTCTTTTCTATAAGCAGAAAAAGTAAGTCAAAGTATTGTAAAGCGTGATTAAAACAATTAATTCTCAATTTTTTCAACGTGACATGTTTTCGTAACATTGTGACAAGTTTCAAATTTGTTCTGAAATTAGAAAGAGCACCTAAGTTATAGAAATTAAAGCAAAGCCAAGAATCTGTTTCAAAAATTTATGAAATTGTTAAACTTAAAAATTAAGTATTAAAAAAAGTTCTGCACAACATACATCGTTTTGGAAAAAGCTTGTAGTTTTTAGCATTTCCCTGACAATTAAAAAAATGCAAAATTTTATTTTATTTTTGATTTACAAAAAAAAAAGTTTAAAAGAATAAAAAATTTAAAACGT